AAGCTTATTACCTCATGACATGGTCTCAGAGCATCTCGATGTCATCTTTCTTCTTCTTCTTTTTAATATGACAGAGTCTCACTCTGTGGCCCTGCGTAGCATGCCATGGCATTGTAGCCCACAACAATCTCAAACTCTTGGGCTCCAGAGACCCTCTGGCCTCAGTTTTTCTATTTTTACGAGAGATGAGGACTCGCTCTTGCTCAGGATGGTCTTTAACTTCTGAGCTCAAGCAATCTGCCCTCCTCAGCCTCCCAGAGTGGTAGGATTAGAGGCGTGACCCACCATTCCTGGTTCACCTTGCTTTCAATTACTTACTAATTTTTACAGCTTTCCCATGAATTTTGTCTTTTTAGTTAGAAAAACCAGGAACAGATTCTTCCAAAACTAGGAACAGAGACGAAAACTAGCTGCACAATGCTCACATTTTCTTCTTTCTGTATATGCTTAGTTTTAGGCAAGCTGCCTGCTGCCCTGTGACTCCTTAGCTCTATGACGCCTAGGTCTTTTCTTTCTTGTTTGTGTAAATCTCAAGTCACTGTCCATTTTGTTTTTAAGTAGTCTGTGTGTTTGTGTGTGCATGCATATGTACATGTATTTCTGAATAAAATAACAATTACTAGCTATAGGTAGAAATGTGTATGTCCATGTGTTTATATATAAACATAGCTGTGTATAAGTATTCACATATATGTATGAGTAGAACATTAATGTCTGTATTGCACATTGATGACAAGACATTCTTCAAAAGTATATAAGCTTTATATAATCTTTTACTAATTTTTGCAACATTGAATTCAGCTCCAATTAAATTTTGAAGCATTTATTGTATGCCTGAAATATATGTAAATATATGTATATATGTATACATATATATGTATATCCTGCCAATACCTAGTAATTAAAAAAATAGATATGGTCTTAGATAATTATTCTCGAAATGTAGCTTTTAATGTTTCAAGAAACCCCAAAGCCTGTCTTTTCACTTGCAGACCCTTTATGCCTATGGCAAGTCATCTCTGAAATGCAAATACAAACTGGATTCTCTCATTAACAAAAAAAAAAAAAAAAAGAGAGAAAAGCTTTGAAGATATGTATAAGAAAGTTATAAGGGTAAAAGAAAATTAGGTTGCTCTGTTATAATTGGGCAAATTAGTATTAAGTTCCCTAAAATTTGACCCTGCTCATTTATCAGATGACTAAGACATTTAGCTCTTCAGAATGTTGGCAGTATACCCTCAAACATCAGTAACCCGTAGAGAGATGTTTAAAGACTGTTAGGATATGCTGATTACTCAGGTAACTCATTACTTTGTAAGTACTAATAGCATGTTTCCCCCAAAAAGCAAAAAGTAATTTTTCAAACAAAAGTGTCTACCACAGAAGTATGACATACAGGAGGATAAACATAAAAATATTTTAAAATCTAGTAAAATAGTACAGCTGCTTCTATGCTTGATGGTCTAATCTGACATAGCATTTTCAAATGATGTTAATATATCTTATTCTTTCTTTTAATAAAAAACTGTCATTACAGGCACTTAAATTTTTAAATACTAAGGAATACCTTGGACATATTGATGGACTCATTGATATGCTTTGGATTTTTAAAGGAAGAAATGCCACCTATGTAACTTCTACAGAATTTTTTTTTTTAAAGAATAATTTTTTGGAAGAAAGGCATTTCAGGGCTGGTTTTGTTTAAAATGTGCCCCCATCACCCATTTTTTTCTTTTCTACTTTTTTTTTTTTTTGATGAAATGAGCAGCAGAGCCCTCTTTGAAGTATAATTCTCTCTCTCTCTCTTTTTAGTAATGGTAGTTTGCTTTTCAGAATCGTCCCCTGTACATAGAGAAAAATGCAGGAAGAGGAAAAATAGCTCTCCTCTGGGCTAGAGCAGGCTGAACAGAATCAATCCCCAGTTTACCCACACTCAACAGCATGAAAGTTCTAATGAAGCTGTGGCCCCTCGAGGACAACTAACATTAGAACTAAATTTCTAACCCCTAGTAAAATATTGGGAACCTTTTGGCTTAATGTCTGATTAAAACCCAGAGATATTGCATTCACTCCTACTAAAGTGCGCCCATGCCGTCTATAAAGTAAACTCTCACAGTCTTGGTTTGACTCATATCGTTGTGAATGCCCTTAAAAGATATATAACCTTTTCCAGGATAAAACTATTAGATAATTTCTTAATCATATCCTCTCCGTGAGGAACTGCCATTAGAATTATTCTGCCACTGGTTATTAAAACTGACCAAGAGATAATAAATGATTATTTCAATAGGAATGTGAGAAACCTTACCGATTTTTCAAGTTCCTTTCATCACAGTGTTTTATTATTGCAAATTTATAGAAGTATGATCGTAGAGCCAGTCCTTAAAAGACCGACATAGTAATGAATGCTCCTTTAACTGCCAAACTCTTATTTTTATTTTCAATCTAGTCTCAGCAAGTATGAAGCTGATAAGCCGTTCTTCTGTTAGGGTGACCCTCTTAGGGAAGAGAAAACTCAGATTAGGTAGCATCAGAGGAAGTAAATCTCAGTACTAGGTATGAGAGAGACTGATTCATTTCTTTTGATGAAATCTCACCCTCTGAATGACTTTGAAGTGCAAGACCCATGTCAAGAAGGAGTCCTGTAGGAATGATTGCTTAAGATGGTGTTTAATACAGCAGGGAGCCAAGATACAGTCGTAGGACACAGTAAAGAATGTGGAGTGTCTAGATACAATAAAGAATTTTGGCTGATGGTCTGCCATCTGTTATTTCCAAAGAGGGATAGTTAGGGAAATAAATGACCTTCAGTTCTCCATACATGCAAAGGTGAGTTAGTTATTACAAAAGTTTGCTTGTTGTTTGTGCTGAAAGAAAATCATACACATTTAAACATTTTTTTAAAAAATAAATCACTCGATAGGCTTAAGAAAAATACTTTAGTTCATATATCATTGATGTGACCTTTTGATTCAAGATTAGGGAATGAATCCAGGATGAAAACCAAAACAAGAAAAAGAAAAGAGAAAGAAAACAGAAATGAATGATTTACCATGAAAAAGGCATTTCCAGTCTCAGCTAACCTCGACTAGTTTTTATTGCATTATGTTTGAAATGCCAAGAAACTGGCTTTGGCCATAATATCTGCTGTCCAGCTAAATCACAGCTCTCAGGATGCAATTTCTTGCCACAATTAGCTAAACAGCATTATTCAACAAATTCCCTTGAAAGAGACATAGATGTGATAGGTGTCTAACACACTGAATCAAGTAACAGGAAGTCAGGCTGGGGCTGTAGCCCAAGAGAAGTCTGGAAATCATTGCCCAAGGAAGGGGTTTCACCCAGCCTTAGTTTTCTGGAAAACACACATTTGTCCTCATCCTACAAGTTCTTCCCTGGTTTCAGGACAAACTGAGCTGTAGGACTGCCTAAGGAGGAGGGGAATAAAGCCACCAATTCTAGATTTGTTTTTAAAGGGATCGGTTGGAGTAGGAAGAAAAATAGAAATGCAATGTAACATAGTAATGACATACAACACGGAGAAAAGAAACATCATGGAACCTGCTAGCAATTTCCATCAAAGCAGTAAACCCTTTAACTGACAGAAATTCAGTACAATATACATATTGATTAACAACTCCACCATTACTAGGGCTGGGCTGCTGTGTAAAGCCAAAAGTAAGAATAATAATAACAAAATAACTGCAATAGTCAAAAACAGAATTCTCATAAGACTTGAGAAAAACAGAGTGAAAAGGCAATGTTAGCTAAGCTCTTAGCTAAGTCCACTCTTAATGGCCCCCAGTATTTAAACTATCATGGATTAAAGCCATGAAAATAAAAATTTCAATTTGAAATTTTATTAGCATGTTGCTAAAATGGTCAATAAAGACATCAACACGATAGGCTTTGTTGACATAGCTGGAAAACTGCTCTCTCATTTTGAAAACTTTATTTCCACTTCCCCACCTTCTACGATTTCTATGTTAGGAACAGCCAAACTGAACATACTGGCTATGGTGTTGTAATAATGCTGGTTTCTGGAATGTTGCCATGTCCTCTCCCTCCCCCTCTTCTAACCCTTTGAAAAACATGACTGTTTTTTGAAATGCAGCCCTAGGGTTCGGAACACTAAATGCCTTTCTTCCTACGTTCACGTTCCCAGACACCAGGTGAACTACCTCCTTTGGGGGGCGGGGCGAGGCCGGCGATCCTCCCCAAATTAGCTGCGCCATTTTCCTCCCGGGACTGGGAAGGCTTCCCCTCCATTAGCTAGGGAGACTCACAGGCAAAATGCGGGTGGGGGCGGCGTTCGCTTCCCGCGGTGGAAAGAACAGGAAGCAAACACTAGCTAGCTGAGCCCGGAGCCTGGAGCGCAAAGTCGGGAGACCTGGGGCTGGAGAGCTGGAAAGGTCCTGGGCAGCCTCAGGATTACCCGGAGTCCCGAAGTGCTGTCTTGTGGAATTATTTCACAAGCGCACAGGGACAGGCTGTTTCTTGAAAATCCTGCCATCTGGGGATAGATACATCCATACAAGAGCTGAACCGAGTCCTGAAAAGACCAATTCTTGCCTCCGACCGGTCTGTGTATGTGCGTTTGGGATGGTGATAGCCCCCTTTTAGTAAAAGGTTGTGTCCCTGTAGGGTGACAGTTACTGACCACTGACTCTCGGGCGAGGCCGTGTCCTTGCTCCCCTCAGCCCATTCCCCTTCACTCCCTTACAACTCAAGGGACAAGCACACGCTGGGTCTGCCAACACCGTCACCGCCCCTGGGGATCTCAGCCAGGCGCACGCTGCTGCGCCCTTCCAGCCCCGGGGTCAGTTCCTGAGACTTCAGTCCCTTGCTGGAGGGGTGCGAGAGTGCAGCCTGGGCGCTGGTCACCTCGGCGGGCGCGCTAGGGGGCGGAGGGCGGGAATCGCTGGCCAAGAAGCCCGAGTGCGGGGGACGCGAAGGGAGCGGGGTGCGGGGAGACAGGCGGACAGGCAGCCCCTCTGCGGCTATTCCTTGTCGTCCACGAGGTCAGCGAGCTCCTGGAGCACTCGCAGGCGGCCACTGGCGTCGATGCGGCGCTTCTCGCGGATGAGGTCTTCCAGGCTGTGAAACCTGGCCGTGTGGACTTTGTTCTCCCCCAGGTGCACCTTGAGATAGTACTGCTGCTGCGGGGGCTGCGTGCCGGCCGGCACCTCCCCGCCCGCCTTGAACTCCCGCTTGCCGAAGCGGCACCAGGCGGCGAAGCTCTCCGAGTTCGTCCAGCAGATCTCGTCGCTCTTGAGGCCCAGGTGACCGCAGGCGTTCTGCACCACCAGCTCGGCCAGCAGCGGGCGGTAGCGGTACCAGCTATTCACCACCCGGCCCACGTTGGCCGCGCCCGCCTCGTACAGGCTGTCCTGGCGGATCTCGCCTTGGTGCAGGTGGATGATCTGCCCGCCGCCCACGTAGACGGCCCAGTGCGGGGCGGGCGCGGGCGGCTCCGGCGCGGGCTGCAGCCACAGCAGCTCCAGCAGGTCGCCCGGCTCGCAGAGCGCGGGCAGCGCGGAGACCGCGTAGACGCTCAGGTCCGCGCCCTGAGGGCCGCCGCTCACTTTGGAAAAGATGCATTCCTGGCCTCGAAAGGCGGAGAACTGAGTCTCGTTGAGGACCAGCTGGTGCAGCAGGTGGTGGTGGTGGCGGCTGGGGCTCTCTGGGCAGGGGTTGCAGCCCGGGGGGGCCTTCACGCCAAACTTGTCTGGCTGCCCGCGCTCGTCCAGGTCCTCTTCCTCATCGGAGAAGAAGTAGGCGACCCCGACCCGTAGCTCGTCCTTCTCAATCCCCGACGGGTCCCCTGTGGGCAACTCGCTGTAGTTGAGGTGAGTGATGCGGTCCAGTTGGTTGCCCATCAATGACGCGGCGAGACGAGGGCCAGGAGCGGGGATCTGTGGAAGCACAGAAGAGCAGAGACACATCAGAGTCGGGTGTCCTTCTTGGTGTCCCCTCCCCAAGAAGTACAGTGCCTCTGAGACCTGCCCGCTTGCCCACACGCTCCCTTAGGAGTCACCTGCGCCAGCCAAGTCCCCCGTGCCTCCCTGGGAGTAGGAGGGGCGAAGAAGCACCAGTGTGGCGGAGGAGAGGAACGCCACCACGCAGCCTTTGACCCTATCCCGGAACCCGGTCCAACTCACACCAGAGAGGACGCAGGTTGTCTGGAGAGCGCGCGGTGTCCCAAAGGAGAGGAGAGCACCGGTGTGGCAGCATAGGAGACGGACACCCAGGGGAGGACGAAGGGGTGGGTTGGAAGGGAGAAAGGAACCTAAGGCCTGAGAGCTCCAAGCAAGCTGAGCTCACATTTCTGTCCCCACCCCCCAGCCCACCTCTGGGTGTTGCACTAGGTCGCTGTCCTTCCCTGACAGCGGCTTACACAATGGCAATCGAATACATTCACAGGCATTCGCTTGGCACCAGCAAAATCTTGCACGCTTGGAGTCCAGACACTGCCGGGATGGTACACTGGTGTTTGTCACACACACACACACACACAATGACATATCCTCGCGACGACTACACTGGCACACTCACACACCCCCATATTCGAACACAATTCCAGCCCCACGATTGCACGCTCGCCGCTGCACGTACACCCAAGCGCCGGGCACACCTGCCCACACAGGCAGGTGCACTCTGCCCCTCACTTCTCCAGCCTTCTCCCCAGCAGAGCCAATCGGACTGCGCCAGGGCGAGGCTGCTCTGTCTAAAATAACCTAACAAAGAGGCAGGGGAAGAAGCCAGCGCAGTGTTCTGTGTGCGCGTGTGGGCGTGTGGGGGGAAAGGTCCACTTTCAGCCGAAAGACCACACTCCCTCCTACCCAGAGCAGGATCCAAACAATCAGACGAAGAAAAACCGTTTCCAAGGCAAAGAAAGCCGCTTCTCCGTACCCGTGATTTCCCTGCTCTCGAAACCCAAAACTCCTTTAAAGTCTCCTGGTCCCCATGGGTGCTGCGGGAGCGGCGATGGCGAGAGCGGTCCCGGGCGGCGCTTGGGGCTGCGGCTCCGTTCTGCCCCGTGCCGAACCGTGTGGTGCGTTGCCCGCGCGCCTCCGGGTCTGCGCTGGCTGGGCCGCCTGCTCCACCTGAGCGGTCCCTGCTCCGCTGTGCTTTCCCACAGCCGCGCGGACTACTCTAAGTAGTCGGAGCAGCCAGAGCAGCCGGTCCCAGGGCCCGCCCCAGGACGCGTTCATTGGTTGGCGCGGAGGCCCAGGCCCTGTCAATCTCCGCGGGAGGGGGAGGGGAGCGGGGGCGGGTCTCCAGTGCGCCCCGCCCCACCCCGCCCTGTTCCCCGCAATCCCTCAACCTACACCCTAATGCGCTGGGCCCCGGGGAGGCGAGGTGTGATCCTCGGTGAGGAGCCCGCCAGGGGTAGGGCGCTTCTGCTCGGCGCTGCTGCTGACGGAATCCAGTAGCGAAGCTGAATCTGGAGGTGGAGTAGAAACCCCGGTGCACCTAGCCTGGCCCGGTGTGGGTGGCCCGGGACAGGGAGCGACATGGTCCAAGGTGGGAGCCTGGGGCCCTGCTAGGATCCACGGAGCCTCGGTTCTTGAGGGACCCTGGAATGGTCCTTAGTTCTCAGACTTTTTGCTACCGATCACAAAGGCCTTTGAAATTGCACTTTCGACGTTCAGCTGCTCTCCTTTAAAAGCCCCGGTGAAGCTGGCATCTGTTTAAAAGGACCATCCTGTTAAAAACGACCTGAAAGTCGGCCTGGTCCAGCCCCTTCCCTGGACGTGCCTATGATTTTTGCCCCCCAGTTTTCTGAGAGGGGTGCATCACAGATACTGATAGGAGGACATTAAAAGTGTTTTCAAACCCCACCATCACCATCCCTATGGGATTTTCGTTTGGTTTTGTGGGAAAAGGGTGTTCAGCCCGAATTAGTGATTGCATTTCTAGATGGAAAGTTAATGAAAGCAGGTACTCTGGATATTAGATGCTGAAATATGATTCTCATGCGCATAAAATTCAAGACCAACAGTTTCGAAAGCTTATGGCATTAAGCCTCAAAGAGGTCTTAGACATCTGGTTCTTGGTCCAAGGCTACTTATCTTTAAGACTAGGCTCCAGCACCTTTTTTATAAAGCTCCCTCTTCCTCCCCAGAGAGCATTTGGTGCTTCCTGTGTGCCCCTCCCACTTCCTCCTCACAAAGTGAACTCCTGGAGCACAGTCCTGCGCTCCACGTGGACCTCTCAGTCCTGGGCCTAGGATGCATTCCATCAGTAATAATGAAAATGAAAACAGTCAGCCGGTATTGACCACGTACAAGTGGCCAGGCACCGCGTTAAGAGACTTAAGTAGATGATTTAATCATCATGGCTCCCTAGGGTACTCACTTATATCTGAATTGTAACAATTGAGGAAAGGAAGGCTCCAATAACAGGGCCGGCGATTTATCGAATGTGTTCGGTGTTCCAGGGCCAGTCTTTTATTAAGCTATATTGTTTGTTGAGTGAATACAGTCTTATTTTATAAGATGAGAAACTCGTATTCCAGAGAAGTGATCTGATTGGCTCAGGGTTACATGGAGCCTGATGCATATTATTATTATGTAAACTCTTTTCCTTGGTACACTATTCTATTTTAATATTACCGACTGCCAAGCCTCCAGTTCATGTTTATTTCTGAAGGTTTCTGTGAACCCTCACTGCCTCCGTGTGCAGTGATTTATCAGCTTAGATGCTGAAGTACTGCTGAAAATACATCATTTTAAAATGACCATCCGTATGCATTTGATGTACGTAAATCTTTTCAGAAATTAGGACATTGTCCACATGCGAGTCAGTAGAAAACAAGTTGCCATCCTTGGAACTGACCACAAGTTGTGATGGCCTTTTTTATACTTGTCAGGAGTAATAAACAGCTCATTTTGGCCCTGAAGTCAAGAGAATTGAACAAGTGGCTTCAGAGATCAAGAAGTGAGTTATTGGTCTTGTTATAAACTGGACTTCAGGGATGTCTGGGAGGAGGGTATCTGAAGAGTTCATTATTGATGTCTGTGAAGAACTCATTGAAAGCAGCTCAGCGTTTGACTCTGAATAACCTCTTTTTTTATCCTCTCCATCCCCAAGATCAAATCATGCACACAAACATTTACAACCTATTTGGTGTATTCTGTCCTACCAGCTCTATTCCACTCTACTGCAGACTGCAGAGGAAGCAGCCTGCTCCTCTTTGCTCAGTGTTCCAACACTCTACAGAGTAATCTACATAAAATATTATCGGTACTTGGAGATACAGTGCCTAAATTTTAAAATATCCACATGCAACTTTCTGAAACTCCTTTTCTTCCTGTCCTCCTTGCGAGAATAAAAGGGTAACTGCTTTACTAATCACAAGTGGGAATAAATACCCTGGGGCCCCTTGAATATAAGCAGGGAACACATTGACTGGGAGGCTTGGGAAATAGGGACCTAAAAATAAACTAAGGAAAATGCATTTATACTTTATAGCCTTTTGGCAACTACAAAAATAATAAAGTGAGAAATAGACCAATTGACTTGCAAGATGCTAATAGTAGAAAACCTTTTACAAAAAACATATTGCTTAAAAATTGTTTTATGTGACTATTACTTTTCAGTCCAACTTTTGTGCTGGGGAAAGACAGTGTCATCAAAAGTAGTAATCTCTCATCAAAATACTGACCCTGGAAGGCAACTACTGATTTATACTCTACTTCCACATTTATGAACAGGGTAACTTTGGTCAGTTACTTAACCTTGCTGGATGTCAGTTTCCTCACTTGTAAAATACAGATAATAACAGTGTCCACCTCATGGAATTGCTTTGAGTTCCTGCATGCAAGCATAGGGCCTGGCACACAGTCAGCTTTGCATCAATGTTACCTTATTATTATTCTTGGTGGAAGAGAGGAGAGGGTCTCATGACTTATGTGTTTATGACTGGGGTTCATTTCTGTCTCTTTTTTGTTCCAGGCAAAAGCTAGCCCTAGATGAAGTCCCAGGCTGTCCCTGACTGAGGTGTGGGACTGTTTCTATTTTAAAGTAATGAGAGCCCTGTCTATCCGTGGAATACTCTGAGGTCTAAAGCTGTACTGATTTGTGTGTGGGAGCCCTGAAGCTGATCACACATCAGGTGGAAGGTCATGGAGGTTTTAAATTATTTTAAAATGAACATTCTGGTGTGATGAATATAAGAACAAAAACGTTAGAAAGGACTGATTAGGAGTCAACGATATGTGCGTGACTTTTTCTACTGGTGCCATCTTGGTATATCTTCTTGCTCTTTTTGGTTTCCTCTTAACACTACATGAAAGCCTTTCCCCAAATTTTACTGACAGGGTATTTGGCTTAAACTATCATTTGGGGGGGGGGCTCAAGGTATAAAGGTTCAGGAAAAAATGTGACTTCTCCGTTAGTACTGTTTTATATCTTATATCATTGTTCCCTGAAAGATGCTTTTCTGCTTTTAATTGTGTGACTACCTTACATTTATTCTGTAGTGCAATAAACTGTCCCATCTCCTGTCCTTGACTGCCTTAGCTGGTTAACATCCCTCTCCCAATGGAGCTAAAGAATACTCTGTCCCTCTCTCAATCAGAGACAGTGCTATGGCGTCACCAATCCCATTTCCCTTCCTTCTGGGCACACAGCTAAATGACAATCCCCAGAACACTTGCACTTAGTGGGTGCCCTTGGACTGAATTCTGCCTAATGGAATGTAGATGGAAATAGAGTCATCTGCTCTCAAGTGTGGTTCCTGAAACTAGAACCATTAACACAATCTTCTAGAAGTTTCTTTTCCCATTTAGCTGTATGTAGAGGACTCACTGTAAAACTCAAAGGATATAATAACCAAGAGCCAGCATAGGTAAGGAGACCAGGGTTTTTGAATGACTGTGTAGAAGTGATGAACTGCATTGGGTTGTGAAAATAAATATTATTGAGTTAAGCCACCAAAAATTGTGTGGTTATTTGTTAAAGCAGTTAGCCTATAGTGATTTATATAATCTTCTTCATTTTAGACCTATCTCAGAAGAAGAAAAATCCCCGCCCACCCTTTCACTCTTAGGGTGAAAACCCCTTGGCATTTCATCACCATCACATTACCCAGAATTCAAAGAAATCACCAATGGACACATTTGCCCCCTCTAGGGACTACCCCACATTTCTCTGCAATTTGTTCTCTAAACTTCCATAGCTCCCATGTGGCTAGCTCTCTACCTATCAGACCTGTTTTCTATTTTTTCTAGACCACAAAAGTGGCGAGGTAAACCCCTTGCAACTAAGACTGCAGAGAATCCCACCATCCTGCTTCCCTTGATCTGTCCTCATGTATCTTTGTCAGTGCCTGCCTCGAAGTTTAGGTTTCCATATTTTTACATTTTCTGAGTTCCTTCCCATAACTGGAAGCCATGACAGAATCATGAATGTTTCCTGGGCAAAGCTTTCAGCATTAATACATGTGATATTTTGTTGCATGTGCATTACGCAAAGACGTCTCACCCACTATTAATCTTTTCTCTGCATGTTCTTCTGATTTCAGAAGACTGCATGTCATTTGTCTGGAAAAAGACATGTTAGTGGCGGGTGAGCTTTCCTGGGTAGGTCTGGGTCATTGTCACACACACAGCTTGCTCTTTCTTCTGTCTGGAATGTCTTCCCCTGCCTTTCTCATCCAGCTTCCACTCAAAATTTATAACCCCTTCAAGTGTCAGCTCTTGCAATATATCTGTCCCCTCAGCTCATTCTAGCTGATTCCACCCTTTAGGCTTCTGTATCACTATATGTATATTGGCCATAAAATGTGTCAGGGGTGTGTCAAACTACTTATCAAACTAAACTGTCATCATGGTTTTCTTTTCTTTTCTTTTTTTCTTAATAGACCAGAACATAGTATCTAATTCAAGTCTGTATTCCCTTTGCCGACCATGGGATTTGGTGCAGTGTTCACTCAACAGACACACCTTGCCCGACTCAGGGCATGATTGAATAATGGTCCCTGTTCTATATAGTGAGCTTTCACTGACTTGAGTGCTCCTATGCCTACCACACGTGTGTGTGTATCTAGATAATGTGTGAGAGGGATTGCTGTGTGATACATAGTGCTGGGTTTCCAAATGGACCTCTTGCATCATCAGGGA